CAATAATCGAAGACCTTCTATTCTTGACGTGGCTCGATTCCTGAGAAGGTCATCATCTGTGACAAATCCTCTAGATTCGAATGCGGTTGCCAGTGAACCGCTACAAAATACAGGTAGGAGCTTTCGGGGGAGGGTGAATGATTTCAATGGTTACTTTGGCATACCCAAATTGACAAGTTTCCCAATTTGTAGGACTTTATTAAGATTCATTTCACAAGACAGTGCATAATTTTTTGCCATTTAAACATTTAACTTCACTGTCAGAGTTGGCGTGATCAACTTTGTTCACTCCGAAATGGTAGATGGTGTTGCAGAATTTTAACAAATATGAACAAAAAAGTGTGCAAGCTTTAACTTGGAATCATTATTGCTTTTTGGGTGAAACAATTCCCTGTGTAAAGCGTTGGCAACTGCGAGACGCGACCAATGGCGAAGTAATGATTTCGTGTTCTGCCTGGAACACTAGCTATTAGTGGTAGTTTGTGCCATGGGTCTGATCAGAATGTCTGAATATTACGCCCTCTAGAAGAGGAACCTATCAAGAAAGGTTCCATTTGGAAGACAATGCCAAAGGCCGGATAGTCTTCACCAGCAGGCATTTACTTGATTCCAATCACTCTTGCTTTTACATTTCCCTGCAAATTAAAACAAGTCCTTAAAATGTCCTCTGTCAAAAACTAGGTGTTCCATTTGGTTTCCCTATTTTGGATTGCAATAATTGTGTCTTTTATTATTCATGAAGAATTTTGCTTCAAGGTGTGAGGATATGCATAAAAAAACAGAAATAGTTCAGCGACAATTCACCTTATTGCAACAGAAGTCCTCCTTATGTAACAATAGACTTTGATAGCTGACAAAATTATTAATCCTCATTTAAATCAAGTTTGCCAACTACAGAACTTCATATCTTTGAATTTGAGATGAATCATTCCATCAACGAGGGATTGTCTGTTGTTTGTGGACAGATGACCTCAGGTTCTTTACGCATATCCCGTAGGTCATGCCGCTAGGCAAAATTGCGACTTCAGAAGATCAAAGGTGCGGGAAATGTACCTCTAAATTATATTTCACGAAATATGAAACGTCCAATTGGCCCCCATGGTAAAATGCCTTAGTAAGACTTTTAGCTCAGCTTGCTGTAGATGACAGATTATACGGGATTGCTGCTATTTTAGGGCTTTGTTATAAGAAGGTTAAAACATACGAAAATTTTGCCCCTTTGATTTTGAATACATCATCAATCACTTGGCTTTAAAGGGCATTGATAATTAATGAAGGTAGCTGAATTGTTGACTGCCGTAAAAATGCTAATCAAAATTGGCAGTAGATGTCGTAGAATTTTGGGTTAAATTAGATTAAAAATACTTATTTGGCACAAAATGGTGTCTCTATTTACTTATTTTTACTATAAGAGGTTTGATTTCTTTCCTAATACCCATAATTAGTAGTATAGGGGATAAGCACTCATTTTTACGGCGATATTGCACTTAGCGCCATGATGATTAGCTAAGGCCTTATTGGTTGTCCAGCTCTGCTTCGAGGAATTTAATCAGAGTGGGTCTTGCACATTTCAACAACACCTCTACTCCGCCTCATAATGTCCACATGATCCACACATGGGTGAATGTAGCAATTACCACCTTTGACCGCCTGGTTCGACTAATTTGAACCTCTTGAAGCATTCCATTTAAGGAGTCACTGGGATGACCACCAATTTGGCTACTTGCAATACCAGCGACCCATTGGTGCTTGCTGTTAAAGCCTTCATGGAACAGCAAAAGTCGGCATTGTATAAGAAGACATTTAGCTGCTTCATTACACTTTAGACTATACAATTGCGAACAAATAATTGTACATAACCACTTTTCCTTTTCTTCGTGGACCAAATAACTAAGTGAAAACTGGGGGACTGACAGATAGAGGCAGACAGGTGAACATGTGGACGAAAGGAGGGATGAATGACGACACCTTTTAAAACAACCAAGGAAGAAGCATTGAAGGAAGAGAGCAATTCAGCCGGGTAACTTTCGCACCCGCGGTTGGGGGAGTAGACAATTAGCTTCTCTGCCTCTGGATTAGATACTCAATGTGTCGGTAGCCCACAAACGCGTGGCTGCCTCAGTGGTGGTAGGAAACGTTCATAATTGACTAGAATGTGTAAATGGCCTAAAATTTGCATCTTCTTGATGTCCTCCAGATTTCACTAAGGAACTTCAACTTCATGACGTTAAAATTAAGGTGGTTTTTTCATTTATTTGTTTAAAATGAGCAAAGGGCAAGAAAAATGACAGTTGGAATGCTTAAACCCTAAGGTGAATACAAACTTTGACATGCCCTTTGCTACCAACGTTAGTTTACTTCGAGAAAGTTAAAATAACCCTGGAAAGTTGTGATAGTTTCGTTATGAATGTAATAACTTTCTTCTGAGAGCTGCACCAAAATATTAAAATATTTCACAATCTCTTCTTGATTCTCTTAAGGCTAGAAAAGAGATAATATAATAGGTTTTGATTCTTTATAGATTTGTTTTAAACGCTGCGTTTTAAAACATCGGGTACTTTAAGGTTTCTTTTTAGCAAACTTCCTTTGGGGTTTACTGATTTATGAAGATATGTAGGTTTTTTGCCTCAACTTTCGTAAGTTGTAGTCAAAACCAAAGTCCATCCGTTCCTTTTGCCTCAATTGTAGAGAAATGCTTTTTCCCATATTGAGCTACAACCCGACTCCACAATAGGTTAAAATCACTTATTTTGCCAACCAAATAGTTTTGCGACCTAAATTTTTCTTTCAGAGTTAATGTGGCACTGTGGTTATTTCGTGACGGTCACGCAAAATCTCCGACTTAAAAGTGGTTTATGTCAAATTCAACAAAGGTTTCTTCACAAAAACTGCGCAGTTCCTTATTCGGTTGCAGTAAAAGAGGGTCTTTTTCTGCGTAAAAGAACTACCGCAAAATGACGTTTTTTGCTAGTCTAGATAGGTACGACCGATTAACTGTCAAAGGAGCCTTCTCAAAAATTCTCCTCTTATCATCTAAGTAAGTGTACTCTAGGAAACTATAATATGTATTTCACTTCACCGATTGCGCCTTTATTAATTACTTAACAAAAAATAAACAATTTTTTTGTCACGTTTTCCGCAACTCATTCATTTCTTTCCAGCCGACTGATTAATCTACGGACTCATTACGTGAAGCAGTCATTTTATTGCAATACTCGTTGACCGAACAAACTTTTGAGATCCTATTTCCCAGACGCTAATTGTTTTTTTTGCAAATAAAGTATTTTATTAAGTACCCTGCAGCTAGTTAATTTTTACCGAAAAAATGGACTAAATTATCCAGTCACATTGTGCTGTGCCTCTCGAATGACAAATTTTCCAAAAATTTACTCAAAAAGGTTTGCTGTGTTATGGCTAATCACGACGCCAAGCATGATATTTCATGGATTAAAACGTCAGAAGGGCTGTAAGGCATCGCCTTTCTAAATTCATGCCAAAATTTTACCAGTTAAAGCAAATCATGAAACTCAAGGTTTATCACTTCCCAACCCCCAAGTGTTGCGTAAGGTATTCAAGTTGGCGAATTAATCCCCTTTGCTTTCCATTTTTACCCATTTGAAAACTTTTTTACTGCCATTTCTAGGCCGATCTATTAGAAAATCACTAGCACACTTCACTGCTGCAGGAACCTTTTTAATTTTAAAATATGCGGGGAATGAGAGGCCTCTTGGGGCTAAAAACCTCAACAAAAGTTTACGTTTTGCCTTATTATGATTTTGGGGTTGTATTTTGGGCAATAAACCATCAAAATGACCCGTTCAGTTCGCAGTCTACTAACTGATGCAGCGGTCAGTTTTTATTATCTGCTTAAAACAAATCCTGGTCTTTGGCGCCCAAAAAATATAAATAAGACAGTCCTGGAGATGGTCGCTCAAAATGCTAAAAATAATTGCATTTTTTCCTAAAAAGTAGGAAAATATCCCACTTCCTAGGTTTCCAGTGATTTTGGCTTCCTGAATCGCTTCGTTGCTGTTTGAACAGCAGCGCTGGTAATTGAAAGACCGATCAACAGTAAGCCTCTTTAATAAAAAGAAAAGTTTTTGCACCTTTGGATAGAAAAATTTTGAGGATTTGTGAAATGAAGCAGCCACATCGCGAAGATGTAGTCACGAAAGCCTAAACATCATATAGTTGGGATTTTATTTAAGCGGAAACTGCATCAATCGCTTTGAAAAAGTGACCACTTTTTATGTTTCACTTTGACCGCGTTTAAATAGCATTTTTGGTGGTCTTGTAATTGTGTAGATGCCGAGGTTCGTTAGGCCTTAAAACGTGCTGCTAGATGTCACTAGATATTCCACTAGTTGGAATACACCCGCCAAATTGTGGAGTCTTCCATTGTCCAAAATGCGGGATTTACATCAAAAAGGTTAGTCAGGAAATATTTCTTTCTAACTTAATAGATAATTTTAAAGGTTCTGCGGAGAATAAGAACTTGTCTATGTCAACTGTTTGGCCAATCACTGAAGCGTGGAGCAGAACTACTTTCTCAAAGATTGCTGGAACAGAAAACTTGCCAGATCTTAAATAGTGCTTAAATGATCATCTAAGGTTTGTAACAGTTTGGTGACAAACTGAAATACGTAACAATTATAGACTTTATAGGCTTTATAGACTCAATGAAACAGAAGCAAGGGCTGTGTCAGCTGCAGTCGATCCTCTAAACCATGATCACTCCAAAATACCGTGGTAGAATGATTTCAAATACTTAATTTTTTTCTAAAACGTGTTATTTTCATTGTTTCTGTTGATACGAAGGCTGGCCAACTGGTTGAGCCGATGTATGACGAAGCTAAGACTGTGGGCGTTGTAACAGGTCATCTTCCTGCAGCATGCCTGTTTGGCCAATCAGGAGCAGTATATAGCTCAAGGCCGAGGGTCACATTTGACGCGTGATTTCAGCTGTTTTTACAATTTTAGATAGTAAAATAAACCGCTGACTTGGGGACGAAGTATAAAGGATTTGCAAAGTGATTATTTATTCTCCTTTTTTGGCTAAAGACAAAAGGAAGAATTTAATCGAAGGAGACTGCATCACAAAGTACACATCAATAATGTTTATTGTTAACAGCCCAAAAGTTACCTCACTTTTTAATGAGGCATTTTCTACTAGCTTATTGGTACTTGGAGGGCCCTGAAAAACGCATGCCATTGTTTATATGGAGTAGAGAACACATATATTACGCCAGTCTATCAGTTCAGTACCTTTCATTGTGTGCTCTCCACCACCTTTCCATCACTAAACCTTCATGCCGAAAGATTCTATTAGAATTGGTATTTGTGATTTGAGCTTGCCTGTCTTTTGGGCCAAGTTTCTTGTAAAGTTTTTTGCATAGGCTTGGCAAAAGGTACGATAACAGGCATAATCACAATTTGGACCTTGTGATCAATCAGTCTGAGGTAGATGCATCACGTTCAGGAGAACCTTCCATTACGTCTTGCTGATGCCATATTTATTCGCAATTAACATGTCAAAGAGGACCTTTCATTGCTGATTGCTGTGAATGAGGAATCAATGTAATTACACCTGCAACAGCAAGTGCAGATAATAAGCCAAAGATTTTTCTTATCTTGTTCACCTTAAACGAACGAGTCGTCATGATCTTGTTGGCTGATTGACTTCTGATAAGAAATTGCCTTTGTAATCTAAAGTAAAGCGAAAATGAAGCTTGTCATTGGTTATCCTCTTAGCAATCCGCTCCCACACCCCAATTCTAATGCAAGCACTGCTTCATCCTCAGTTGACTAGGCTAGAATTTTTTCCCCTCATAAGTAAGTGCTCCATAAAATTGCGAAGTGCTGCAAGTTTGCGCCTCGTTGGAAGGGCATTACAGATTATAGTATTAACTTTCTTGTGAACAAAAGCATTTAAAGGAGCCTTTTTCCTTGGAAATAAACTACTCGACTCTATTTAGCTACCTTAAAATCAGACGTCCGTTTATCGCTAAACGAAAAGTTAAAGCTAGAAGATTCCCATTATTTCCAGCTCAAATTAGTGATTCACTTCAAGTAGGGCAAATTTCGAACTTTATAATCGGGCAAATTTGATTTATTGCATGAGTTAAGGGCTTTTGCAAGTCTCATAACGCTTGACGGCATGGATTTAAACCACTCGCAGTTAGTAATCAAGTTTGCGAAGCTTAGAGAGCGTTTAAAAATTTCCCGGCAAATATGCAGTGTATTGATACATATATGCATGGGTCTGTCCAACTCTAATCACGACTAATCCGGGGACTAAGCTTTCCAGACAGACCTTTTTTCGCTGAGAGGGGCAGCTTGTGCAGTTCTGGCAGAATGATAGAGCCCACTTGAGGCACAGGTTGGGTCCAGTGTCGTGCATTTATGGTGCTTGAATGGTCTTGACCTTAGCTCATTCAAAGCTAACCTGCACTTCATACTGACCAATCAGGAGGAGGTAAACAAGTGTGAAAAGCTTTAAATAGAGATTGGCCAAGGCAAAATTAAAAAAAAAAAAAACGCTTTTTTTGAGGTTGTAGGCATTCCGAGTATGACAAAATACCTTTTAAAGCTACTTAAAAAATAATGATCAGCTGTAGTTCATTGGAGTACTTTAAGATATTTGAAGACTCAAAATTCTAAACGATTTAATGATTTTGTGATTTGGATTTACTTAACCACCTCTTTTTAGATTTAATTTTTCAAAAAGTACCTTTTTATTCAACCAATTATAGAATTTTCATATCTGCATTAAAAACACCATTGATTAAAAGTTGGGCGAATGCATTACCATGAATGGTTTCTTTTTCTATTATTTTATCATTTGTGACCCCCGAACTCTTCATAAGAATTTAAGAATTCGAAAACAACTTTTCCGGTGATGTAAGTACCGGAAGCATAATCGACAAGCGCACAAAGAGGTGTAGTATAGGTTCTCGATTAATACCCAAGTTTTATTTGATAAAAGATAAATACCACCAAAAAAAACTTCTTAATCCAGGAAAATCGACTTGATGAAGGTAGTACCATGTATTTTCACTTGGTCTTTTCTTCTGTCTACCGTAGAGGCCTTAGTAACAGAAATCGACATGTCTCTGGAATCTTTGACGTGCTTTTGTTAACCCTCTACCCTTGGCTCCCAGCAGAGCAGTTCTTAAGGAAGTCAAGTCAGGAGAGTGTGGAGGCCTTATAAGAGCCCCAAGATATTGTGGGCAAACATGGTGATTGGCTTCTTGACAAAGCTCCAAATGCAGCATTCGAATGGGTTAAATTCTGGAAATATGGAAGGTTAAACATAAAGTGCAGGGTTTTGTTCATGTCAATTGTAGTGCTCCTGGTAACGACGAATACTCGCAGTTGAAGACATGTAGGTTAGCTAGTCTTTTAATGGGTATTTAACCATACTTGTCCATGTGATTCAAATTTGGAGGTCACCGCAGTGATCGGTCATCCAATTCTAGAACTTTCCTAATGTCGTCCGTAGAGTCTCTAGTAGATACAGACTTCAACTAGTTGTTAGCATCGTAACTATGCATGCTGATGGTCTTCATACGCAACAGTCTCCAAAGACATCCAGTCACTTAGGTTAACAGGTCGCATATGATCATGGAAAGGGATCTACCATCGACTTCAGTGGCATAAAGGCCGCAAGCTTTTAGCTCCATTATCTGTGTATGTAGTATAACATCAGTTCTGAGGGTTAAGTTTACACTAGTTCCTACTCATTGTTCCACAAATTTGATTTAATGATTACTAAAGTGGCCAAATTAGCTTCATTTTTTAACTTTTAGCTACCACACGGTATCAGGAGGAGGTCATGAAAATGAGAAATTTGGGCGATACACGCAATCTCTTCAATTATGAGCATGCTCCACCACCGCCACCACCGCCAAGGCAGACTCACGTTTACGGTCAACCGACACATCGAATACCCAGTCCAAAGGCGGGAGAGCCAATTGTCTACCCTCCTGACCTCGGGTACTTCGGCAGTCAGAATGACTTCCGGGTGCAAAATTTCTCCTGTTAAATTGCTCCTCCCATCTAATTGACTCTTTTATGGTAGTTTCAGAAGACGTCTTTACCCATCTCTCCATTTGTCCACTTAACCGACTATCTACCGTCTGTCTCTCTACTTATCTCTCTATCTGTCCATTTATCTCTCAGTCCTCACTGAATTCACTCAGTTATTTGGTCAACGAAGAAAGGGAAAAGTGGTTATGTACAATTATTTGTCCGCAATTGTATAGTCTAAAGTGTAATGAAGCAGCTAAATGTCTTCTTATACAATGCCGACTTTTGCTGTTCCATGAAGGCTTTAACAGCAAGCACCAATGGGTCGCTGGTATTGCAAGTAGCCAAATTGGTGGTCATCCCAGTGACTCCTTAAATGGAATGCTTCAAGAGGTTCAAATTAGTCGAACCAGGCGGTCAAAGGTGGTAATTGCTACATTCACCCATGTGTGGATCATGTGGACATTATGAGGCGGAGTAGAGGTGTTGTTGAAATGTGCAAGACCCACTCTGATTAACTTCCTCGAAGCAGAGCTGGACAACCAACAACGGTGACGTAGTGGAGGAGAAGACTTAAGCTAATCTTCATGGCGCTAAGTACAATATTGCTATAAAAGTGAGTGCTTATCTAGTATACCACTAATCATGGATACAAGGCAAACAAATAAATATCACCTATTTAAAAGCAATAAATAAAAATTGCTTCGTAATGGTTTCTATCCTTTCTGAGGTACATGTTTCAAATTCCGCTTTTGCAGGCCCAGTTGTATCTCCAAAATCTTTCAAGATAGCTTTTGGTGACATTTTCACTCATTTCTGAGCGCTTAGCCCTGTCACTACATGTGAAGATGTTACACAGAACTCTGAAAGTTTAGGTATGGAGTATAATCCGGTTTAAACAACAGGCAATTTACTATTCCATCTGTCGCATATCATGGTCTCTTCCATCCCCTCCTGGTTTCAGACCCTTGGATAGAGAAGATTGGCCACATAAGGGCACCTCATTGTGTATTGTGAGAGATTTACACATTGTTAGCAGCTCTATTAAAAACCCGTGACTTCCGCTCAGTCACGAGATTGGTGTAATCCACTTGACAATGCCGACATTCAAGCAGTTTGTGCACTTTATAAGTACCCGAAAGCTAAAACGAGTTATTTTAGCTAGTCACGTTAAAAATTTCCAAAAAGAAGTCATTTCATTTGCTTTCTTTTCACCGCTGTAGGTGCTATCTGACTTCTTAAAGTACAAGCCTACTTTCTTGATTTTCCTCTTAACTCTTACGCAATGCTAAATTCTGGACAATACTTTTTTGTCCTCAAAAACGGTTTCTTCTATGATTTCCATTTTACCCGATAGTGTATGCAGGAAATCGTATGAAAAAGTTGCCCTACCCTTGTTCTTCTCATTTTCCGACATGTAAGACTGAAAATCTGTATATTTTTAGCAATTCTAAATTACTGATAACCAATGATATTAATGATTTCATAACTAATGGCGTCGGAGTAATAAAGTCAAATTTTATTGGTTGTATGTGGCTACATGACCTTGAAAGCATAATTCCCGCTTGTAATTAGTAGGAGGTTCTACCGATCTCATACTGTGGAAGAAACCTTTAAACTGAAGTACCTCCCTTGGGAATTAGACAACTCTAATGCCAATTTACTCGATTATGTGTTAGTAAAAAACTGCAAACCTAAAAATATAAAATAATAAGATATTAATGTTTGCTCATCAATTCCTCTTCAAATCAAGCCCTAAAAATGATCACTTTTGTTTTCATGCCATAAATGGTATCTAAAGTATATGAAACGCTACGGAAAGATAGGCAGACACATGAATAATATCGGTTCGGGTGTCACTATGATTACCAATGCTACTACTACTTCCACCACAGCCAATGAACACTCAACGCCTGGACGGAGGTGTTTGGCAAAAACCTCTTGCATTTGTTGCTAAGGTTGGTTACAGATGTCGATAACTCCACTAGATTCTGAGTTGGGCAACAGGTGATGTCATTTGCAACTGGATGACCTGAATGTATTCACTGACCAGATTTAGGTGTGTAACTCAAAATAGCCTTAAAGAATTTTAGACAAAAAACACACCTTCTACACTTGATACTGCCAAATTTTTGAAGATGCTTAGCTCAACTTAGGCAATTATTTTGTATTTTATTTGATGACCACAACAGATTGGTTTGCGCTAAATCGTCTGATGCAAAAATGCCTCATCAGTTCGTTCACTGCCTAAACTTAATTCCGGACTGAATTAGCATACTTCAAATCTAAAGAGCCATTTTCCAGTCATGTGGAAATATCCTGTGTTAGATGCAAATATACTACTGAAAAGCCGACTCAATAATAAGTATAGTGACAACTTTGTTTTTCTTCGTAAGACTTTCATATTTCAATAATTTACGAATCTAAGTGTGTGGATGGGCAAGATACGGTTTCCTTTTGTTCCTAGGATTGTCGTTGTTGTGCTTAATCTGTTTTGAATGCGGATTTAAATTTGAAGTTCTTTAGGAATTTTGATACGAGATTTAGCAAAGCCCCATTTTTGATGATATATCACTGCTGGCAATCATCTCACAGAATATGGAATACCTATGTGGTCCCTTACAACTTTTCAGTGTGTTTCATGTCACCAAGTATTCTAATTTGTTATAACATCCTTTTAAGAAGAACCGAAATCCTTAGTAAGCAGGGTGATAAAATACAGTTGACAGGATAACCCAAATCCCGCTTATTTAATGTTTACACGATCCTTTGAACGATAGGCGGTCTACGCGACCTATAATGGTTAGCCACGCTTGATTGGTCACCCAGTCACGCCTTTCATTGGCTATCGGGGCGTGCCTTGGGAGCTAGCGAACACAGTGCAAATGGATCGACTGCTGTACCATCCCAACAACTTCTGTGTGTGTGTGTATGCATCCACACTTGGCTGCATGCACGCTTCTGACACGTGATTGAATGCCATAGTGATATCCATCATCGCGACTCTGTGAGTCTACACCCATTGATTCACATCTACATTACCTATATAGACCCTTCACCCTTATGCATCAATTATTGGTCTTAATTAAGGTAACTTTTCTTTGAAAATATTCCATGTAAAGCGTTTCCCATACATATTACAATTACCCATTTTCGCGGCCGTTGACTGGCTAGGTGCAAGGCCAGTGTCGATCGTTTTTTTGTGGCACTTAATCAACTATGTGATTAGCGATCGGATAAGCGATCTTTTTGGGTCACGCGAAGCCCACACCATCAAAGCAATTGGAATGGGACTTCAGAAATGGCGAAAGTTCTAATGGCATCAACCATTATACAGTTTAGTACATAAACATGGGTTTTTAATCTGCAAAAACATAAACCGACATTTTTAATGCATCATAACAACCGGGGAAAGTGGTCAAGGCCTTTGTCAAATCACTGCCAATCTTGAAACCTTGACCAGTGACTACCAGCGGTTGATTGGCTATATTGGATGCTTGGCTCAGATCTTATCATTTGCTTTTCCCGCGGCTATGATAACAAAACCCATAAAATTTTATGTTTACTAGAGATTTGCATGAAAAACATGGGCTTTAAAAAAACTGATATTTTTTAAAGTTGATCCTTCTGGATGATTGTCTTTTTTAAAAAAAAAAAAACAGTAAATGTGCAAAGAATATACCCACTTGCAAGCCTAACTTAACTGCTGTTCCAGCGTTGTTTTGACGGCAAATAAAGGACTGTTCTTATTCCGACGATTTGAGCATTTTTTAAGTCAACTAGAAGTTTTGATTAAATTCTGCGGAGCTTTGAGTAATTTTTGCCGCTTCTCTGTTCCCTTTCAGGAGGCACAATGCTAGCTATAGCATTTCTTAACTTCGCGATTGCTATCACAAACGCTCTTCAGCTAAATGTTGGTATGTAAATTATGCTTGTAAATTCCATTTTATAACAGTTGTTTCAAGTAATGAAAATAGCCCTTAAAAATAATTAAATTTGCCTAGTAGAAGACCATTTAATGCGGCTTTTGACGCAAAAAATAAGATTATTCTTTTAACTTTCAAGTGATTCAAACCGAAAGGAAAGGTGATAAAGCCAAGCTTGATGCGACAGGGAATATCTCCTTAAGAATGCACTCCTCATATCCTCAGATTTACAGTTCTGATCGGCGTTTGTACTGATGTCCGTCAATTTCGCAGGACAATAACTGTAACCTCACTAAAAAATTAGTCCACTTGTGAAGCAATTGTTGAGTACTTGAGAGAATTTATGTACATTTATTAGTGCTCTGATGGGGAGGCATCATTTCAAAAATGACTTACCTACCAAATGGAAGGGTAAGTTTGCTTTAAGACCAATACGAATGAATAGGAAAGAGACTAAAGTAGTTTTAGCGAAACAAAACGTCTCTATCCATTCAATATTCATTAGCAGGTTCTGAACATTATCACTTTTCTCACATTTTAAAATATTTCATAATAAGGGATTAAAACCGAAGAGCTAAAAATTTTATTCTACTTATTTCAAATAGGATAAGTAAGGTGATTTAGTCCCGAATTTGGGAGTCTCAATTCTCTGAGATTTTGTGAAGCATTATTCGACAAATCAGATTCTTCCATCGCTTGACGAGTCATCAATCGTAAAAACAAGCCATCATTGTTCCTTTTCAATAGATACAAACCTTGTTTTTTTTTCTCCTTTTGATTACAAACATAATTGTCTATGGGTCTACTTCTGACCAAAAGCATTGCTATTGCCTTTTGACCTCGTAGTGGCAAAAAAGACTCAAAACTGTCGACAGGTGAGCAAGGCTTGCATCCAAAATGACAAATTTTTAACTTCAGTGTAACCACGTTTGCTTTTAACTGTCTGCATATCTTAGGCGCGATTTTGGAGGGCTCTAGTCCAGGCAAGGAGGCAGCATTTCGAAAGGCAATCTACTCGGCCAATGAGAGATTGAGCAGAAGTCAGCGCAGCTCAGCAGAGTCGGTGTCCTTGAACCTGATCCTGAAGAACATTGAGGTGGCGGACACCTTTGCAGCTGCATCAGCAAGTTTGTATCTCTTATATTTTCTGTTTTTTCTTCAATGCAGTCAGGTTTGATTGTTTAAGCTTAGTCGAAATTGGGGTAGTAAAACAAAAATTTTCACAAAAAAGTAACCAAGTTTTGTAATGATGAGGAAGGAAAATCGTGAATTCGCAGGAGATAGAGAGCTTAATTGTGGGAAACAAATAAAATGTATCGCTTTCCAGTTCGGTAAACATTACTCCGCAAAAAATGTGGCAAAACTACGTCAATGATGCTCTTTTTATCGGCGTCACCTACGAGTGAAAGTGTCCTTTAATCGTTTTGTCTCCTTACTGTTCCACCTACAATTTCTCTCCTCTTTCAATTAAAAGGCCCCGACAAGAATTCTAACTTGTTCACATCACTTATTGTTGGCTAAGCCAGACCTAGGGCTGCAGAAGCCTCTAACGTCTGCAGTTCATCGCATTGCGAGAAAGGAAAGGAATACAACGTATGGCCTAGGAATGGCGACAAATTAGTAGAAGCAGAATTCAACCGATTATTGAAAGCCCTTCTTTTTGATCATGAGCGGCGAATTTAGTGTCACTGCTGTCTCATATAACTTTATATAAACCTGTCAAAGACGGTTTGTGTAAATTTTACATCACGAGAGTAATGAAGCGGTTCCTCTTTACCCATACCAAATGATAAAATTGCAAAAACAGAGTAAATTTGTCCCACCCATCTATATTAACAATGTCTAACAAACACTCATCTTGGAAGAATATCGAAGCTTTCTTCGAGGCAGATCTCTGCCCATTGATTAACTTTTGGCAAACAGTGACTTCTGTGTTGTAGGGTTTGTTAGTCGGATGAACAATTCTTTGGTTTTTTGCAGACCATCCTTATCCCAATACCCAGCCTACACCTCTAAATTATCTACGACTTCATCACCAGAAGGCTAGGACTGCATTGTTTTTCTCCAAAATCAGTCCATCTGCCTAATACGACACAACTTACACCTTAGAGTGGTACAACAGTCTATTCCCTAAAGACAGTCAAAAACAACGAATAAATGCGGCGAAAGTGTCATTCGTAAAAGGCAATACATGACCTCATACGGCACATTGGGATTGCAAAGGGCGAAGAATACTGCCCCATTCTCCATATATACGCGATGCAGTTTCTTAGAGTTAGCATTAGCCACTTACATGAGATAGACACATTGGTGTTTAGAGCAATGCTCCTCTTTCGATATACTAAGTGTTCACAGACTTGACTATTTGAGAAGGGACTGCGGGTGAAGAAGGCTTATGAAGATGCCTAATTGATATCAGGGGAAACTTAAAAACACTTCTCGGGTTAGGGTATTAAAAGGACCATTTAACGTTCTGTATTAACCCCTGATACCCCCATCACTCTATTATTTGCATTCTTCTTCAATACCTTGGAATAAGGTTTATTATTGACTGTCGGGAACCTCTTTAACATTGAATTAGCAGCCGAGATTCGATTAATTATAATGAACCAGAATTCTTGCGTCACCCAATCGGTAAGTTACGAACCAACGATCCAACAAATTTGATAAAGTAGCATAATGAAGTATAGAAGGCCAAGGACGTCAGGAACAGTTCCTTATCCTGCTTAAGCCCTAACAGCAGACATCATCAAGCAAAATCACTTATATTTGTCTTGTAGGCACTGTTTAATATAACCACTTTGTTTAAAATCTGAAGTTTTCGTAAACAGTTTGAAGCGTGTTGTAAAATAGCGGACAAAAGAGCTTTCAAACTTCATTTAACAAACTTGATTTATGCAAAGATTATCCACCCTTTGTTTTCCCCATAAAACAAAGCAAGGGGACAAGCAACCATAATGAATTGCGTGACTGTTGTCTGGGTATCGACAACTTAGGGGGCTTAGTGTGGCGTGCTTTGTCCAAATCGAGTGAGGAGCAATCAAAAGATAGTAGGAAAAAACTAACTTGCAGCTCATTATTTTGTTTTTGGTCGCTGCGCCATTTCTGGATCCTGTCAAAGGGGGTGAGAGTGAAAGATCTACTGATAAGTCCCCTATTTAAGCATGTCAAGTTTTGAACGACACCAAGATTATAATCATTTAATCCTACTTTTATAAGCCAAATTTTTCTCTTTTCACTGGACTGATTTCTTTTATCATAAGTCAGGCAAGAAATGGACTCAAAGTCCCCTTCGGCGCATTCTGATGAAAAAAAATCCTCAAGTGATTAAAACTGTCATTTATCAGAGGCAGTTTGCAGGAAATGTTGTTCAATCAAATGCACCCACATCTGGAATTCAGTGTGCATTAGTGGCACGATTTGAAACTTTTGAAACACGACGAGTGGGATAGGTCACAGACACGAGGCGAATTACTCCTTGAAGGTCTTTTTACCCATCTTTGGGTCACTACCTTCTTATATGTTGATCCGTTTTTCAATTTAAAGAGCTCTCGAAGGATGATTAATTAAGAGTTGCTCTTATGCCTCTGTTGAATTTGTCTCACAAAAAAAACAGATATCGAATAAATTTTCACCCCATTCTTTTGTCTTTCTCTTCCACCTCGTCATTTTTGTCATTTTGTTGTCCAAATAACAAACACTGAGCTTGCTATGAGAATGAGACTGCAAGAAAGAATGCTTCCTGTTATTCAAATAATATAGAAAAGAGCCCTTTCATTGTCATAACTTTCTTGCCTTTAAGATAAACAAGTAGTCGCTTGGGGGAAATAGTCCAAATACGTGTAGGATTTGCTCTGGCTCTCTCTTCCACCTCCGTTTTCAGACCCTTTAATCGAATAGGTTAGCTAGAGGAAGATATACCACATAGCATGAAGGATTTACTGCCTAACAAAGTTTCATGGGAAGGGGGATTAGTGTCCACCTCCATCCTACTTATTGCTTACGCCTCCTTGGCCACGGGGTGGATACGATTTGAGAGCCTGTCACTCAAAGTATATGGCCAAGCAAATTTGCATTACCTTTTCATGGAGCTAAATAGCAGTTCTCAATGCCACCACTTCAGGACTCTCAGGTGAAGATCAACCACCACAAATTTGCTGATTTATCGTTAATAGATATCAACAATTCCACTGATTAACTTACAAGCTGTTTAAAAGCTAAAGAGCCAGAACTTTCGGCATTTACATTTGTCTCAACCTCGTTAAAAACGGATAATGATCACATGCCACACAAGGCTGTCAAGTTTCGACACGTTAGAAACAAACCTGTCGAAAAGGCAATACATTCTGCTTAACTATGAGTTAGCTTATTTCAAAAATTCCTTTTTCTTTCTTCAACTCACAAGACGATTTTATCATTAACCCGTCCTTAAAGCCTTGCTGTGTCTTGCGGCAAATCAGCTTTTAAATTGAAGAGCTAGCGAAGGATACGTAAAAGAAAGGCTTCTTACCCGCAAGGGCACGCCTGATTGGTCCGCTCCCTTCCAATTTAACCTGCTGTATAATTGACCCCAAGCTTGGCAGCCAGACCTTACATCGAGTTCTCAAGTCATCGCCTTTTAGGTCATGAAACGGGTTTTATTTTATAGAACTTCAGAAAATCTTTTTAACAAGTAGTTGATTATCTATCCCATGGTTAATCATGTATTTCAAATGAGGCGCTCTTAATGCGATAATAAACCAGAAATTAGGGTTGTTCTTTGGCCTTATTTAAAGGAGAAACAGTAAACCCCTAAATAAAATTCCATACTCTTCGAATTATACATTTACCCAAATGCAAAAGACACGATGAAACCGAGAAGTAATAATTTCTTGTCCTATTTAAGCAATATCAAAAAATCTGGAATGTTCACTTAAGATTGATGCTTACTCTTTATTACCGTGTAAAGCACACTTTCTTTAAGGACAATGGTTAGAAGGTCTAAGGATGGAATTGCCTTACCCTAGATAGAGTTCACGACCTTTATTCTTTCTTTAGCTTGTCAGCTGCTCTCTGAAGGCGTGGTTGCAATCTTCGGACCGGATAGTCCGACCACATCAACTCAGGCCCAATGGATTTGTCAGAATCACCAAGTGCCCTATCTCCTAGCCCACTGGGATCCGATAGAACTACTTGACGAAGTTGCAGACGCCTACGGCGACAATAAAGCTAGCCATCTCCTCAATTTTACCATCAACTTGCATCCCAGTCATGATGAAGTTGGGGAGGCACTGGCGGATTTTCTACACATAGCGGAAGAGTGGCAACAGCTAGGCTTCATCTATGCTCGTGACGATAGTAAGATGCCTTTTAAATCAAGTGAAGAGACCCTTGGTGTAAAATACAGTTTGCTATTAAGGATTTCTGGTTGCACAAGGTTCCTCAAAAGTTTACGATGACAACCTTGCAGATATTCACTTTCAAAAGATTATGGAAATTTGAGACATCTTCTTTATAAAATATTTAGCGGAATATTTTTAAGGAACGAATAACTGTAAGACAATATATTTGGATCAGATTTGGGTTCCTGAAGAAACTCACTGTTTGACTGTCTGAATAAATCGAGTTCTGTGGAATTTCTGTAGTGCTTCAGCTTTGTTTCGGCTAATTTTGGAAACGAGACAAGACCTTAAGTGGTTCAGTCTTTCAGCAGGATTTTTTATTATTAGTTTTTCATTTAAGTAGAGTATTTTGATTGTATAATCTCAAATATTTGTGTTTATATCTAAAGGTGTCCGGTGAGCCTCATAAATGCCAAATCTTCGTCATGAACTGTTTTATGAAAAAGTATTCTCTCTCCATGCAGAGCACACATGATGAGGGAAATAAACTAGTGTGCTTATGTTGTCAAAAATGGTCATTTTATGCAAAAATTGTCAATGTTTACTAGTTGGTGTCATTTGTAAATATTGCAGATATCTTTGCCCTTAATGATAGGTCTTATGCTAAAATGTGACAGCAGCCGGCTTGGCACATTGAAACTTAGAGTACAGACAATCGGTATTCTTTCTCCCATATTCACTGTTCTCCAATATTTTGCATTTCTAGATCTTTTTATCTATTTTCCATGCACTCGTTATTTCAAAATCTTCCAATCTTCCAGAAACGGCTCCAGTTTTTTGGCGGATTTTACAGTTATGAATTTTGACATGATAGACGGTTTGAATTATCCCTTTAACAGCTACGAACTACCTATGAATACTTTTTTTCAGGTCTGGTGAGGTACGAGAAACTATTATCCAAGTTCAGGGGTAGATTGATGGTCCGAAGGCTGAACACGGCTGCACTGACGCACAAGTACATCATCAAGTACTTCATGACGACAAGATCACAAAATCGTTTTGTGGTGGACATTCCAAAGGCCGAGATTGAGGAATTCCTAAAATTGGTGGGATAGTCTTCCTATCAGTTGATGTGACAACCAAATAGATGGCCTCTTTCAAAATCTTCTCATGTTTTCGCAGATTTCTGAGTACAATATGACGGATCAATACTATAGCTACATATTCACCGACTGGGTAAGTAAAATTACTGTTATCTTTGTTTAGACAAATTACACCACTCTTAAAAAATTTTCCATTTCCCCTTTATCTGATTAAATCGCTAGATCAAACGCAGTATCCCCGTTGGTCGGGACTTAATCAATGATGGGCGATGTTTGCGAAGTTGTGTTCCGCTCACTTTACAACATTTGTTCAACTTGCATTGAATTTTTGGTTATTCCGACTGTTATAGAGTAAAGGAACTTTTAGACCGAAATCATTTGAAACAAACCTGGTTACTCCGATTTGCTTCAATTATTCGGCGTTGCCATTAGGAATGGAAGAAATATTTAATCTTCGCTAAAATTTGTATAATAGAAATATAGCGATATGAAAAAGGATAGGGTTAATTCGGTTACCTAGGCGCTTGGCCCATCAGACAAGCAGAAATAGGTGCCTTATTTAATTCGTTATTTTCTAGCAGAAAAAACACCGCAATTAAGAAGACGTAGGGTGAATGAGGTAGGTAGGAATATTTTCTAACCATAACTTCTTTATTTTATCTTTCTGATTATAATCTAATTTATTCTAGCCGATAAAGCCAAAGCTTCGACCCACGTTGTTAACTTACTGACTACTGGAAGAAGCTTCTATTAAACATTTTCCCTTAAAATAATCACCAAAACAATTAGCGCTCTGTGATACTTTTGCAACCAGGTATAAACTAGCTGCAAATTCCGCCGTCATAAGTCATTTTTCCTCTTGATGCGGATAACCAAGCATCAGCCGCTTCCACTGCTACCTAATATGTACTTTCACACTGCCTAGATTCTTGGTAATGGCAATGAAGCTATCCATTGCTACGATTAAGAATGTAGGATGGGGCAAAGTGGAACAATATCTCCTCTCCCTCCCATCCCATTCCATTCATCCCCCATTCCAGGGAATTCAATTTGGCTCTGTTCCACTTCATTCCATCTGTTATGCGGTGTGGTATGGGGTCTCCTCATGGCAATGTCATAGGCATAGCTCTTTCTGGCCACCTATTCACTAGTCATGTTCGATTATGAAGCAGACGTTTGCCTACTTACACGTCCTTCAGTTGTATTGTTACAAGTGGAAAAATTTAATCCTACTTGTTTAAACTTCAACAAACACACAACTGGTAGTAAAGAATTGCGCCTACATTGAGCCACATACCACAGCATGCCTTGTCTTGTGAGAGTGGATGGATGGATTGTGCATGTTCTCGACTTGTGTAATGGTCGGTGAGTGAAGCGATCGCGCAGAGCGACTCAATGACACATTCGTTGGCTGTGCAAATGCTGCAACACCAAGGCCACTTCTCTTTACAAGTTGGTTAGTCAGCTATTTAGTCATTTTACGAACAATTCGAAAGCCATGGTGGGTTCTTATTAAGGTAAAATGAAGCAATGAGGAGCAAAGCGGCAATCTTTTGACACGAAGGAGTCACACTTATGGTATGGGACAATAACTCACCAAGCTGTGTGAAGAACTCCTTCTATACCCATAGTGGGATGGCATAGAATAGAATGAAATAAGAGAAATGCTGCCACTTCCCATCTCATCTTCTAAGGCCCCCTGATGAAGTTTTCCCAGATATTCTATTAATAGGGTTAGACAACCACATAATCACTTGAAAATCAGGCTAGACAGTGTGGAAACAAAAGTGAGGTAGGAATGATAGTGTCTGGTACCGGGTTTTTCACTTCTAAAGACAAAGTGATTTATGAAGGAGGAATTTGCGGCGTACAGATTTCAGCGATGTTTATTTCAACAAAAGAAATGCTTGCGAATACTTTTTTAGCTACTTAACTTTCGTCGAAAGAAAGTGGGCAAACTTATTTGCCTGCCTTACAAAGTATTCGATGCACGTATATCTACTGTCACTTGCAATACAGCCCCAGTTTGTTGACTTTAGACTTGGTCGCTGATAAAACACTCAGTATGCCTCTTTCTAGGTTTTCTGCCTAATTTGCAAGATTGAGAGGTCGGATAGTTTTCCTGACTCGGTCTAGTTCCTCTGTGGCCGGATTCATTTGATCTGACCTACTTATCAACCCAAAATCCTTAATAACCCGTTAGTTTCATCATAGTCTTTTTGTTTTACCAAACTTGTTGCCCATTTCTGATCAAAAGATTTGTGGTTCTGGGGGTGAATATTTCAAAATTTGGGGAACAACGTCCCCACCAAAACTCCTTATAGGCTAACCTATCCGCAGACCCATGCTTATTCTCCCAACTGGAGTTCTATCACTTAGAGACGTTTCATTTATCTCTGACGAAGAGGTAGACAACAAGTTGCCTTAGTGAGGTGATTATGCCACAAGACTATTTTTGTTCTTGGAATCAATCGTTGCCATTTTTAATCTGTCCAAGGTCTGATCAACATATGAAGAGTAGCCACTGCTTTACAACACCCTATGCCTTTAGGCATGGGAAAATTACTTATTTTTGGTATACAGAAGGGGTAGAAGACCACATTATAAAAATGATGTAAATATCACTGTGATTTGAAGGGTCTATGTAGTAAAATATGCATTATAGCACAGAAAGAAATTATTACATCACAACTTACGAAAGCCAATTGTCTACTTAAATAGATTTAGAATCTTGCCCAAATGTGATTTCCTCGGTATTTCTCCTGTTCAGGATGCTCAGTTTACCGACCCCAGGGCCTTTTCCGTAGACAAGGGCGCCAACTTCACGGCGCTGTCACTGCTTCCACTGCTTCGAGTTAACTACCGAACAACGGAGGAGGAGGAGGAGGTTGGGGAGGAAGAGGAAGGAAGGGACGGGATTGATGAATGGAGCTCCTCAAATCCTCTACAAGAGAATGAGGAGCATCACTCCAGTCCGCAGAATAGTCTCGTGAGTGTTTGCCCACTTTCATTTTTGTTCGTTTGTATTACATACAGCCACAAGCAGGGCGACAAATTAAGTCAGTATACAAGGCCTGACCATCAATGACAGATGTATGGATGGATACGGAGCAGTTGAGTGACCAAAGCCAAGATGGGGAAATTCATAGAGGGATGGAAAAGACTAAATCTTTATTGGGTCAAAAATGGACAAATGAATGAGTGGATCCTCGATACATGGACAGCGTATTTGTTGATTTTGATTTGTGATAGTGGCCAAATGGGTAGGAGATCGATGAATAAACGGAAAGTGAGCAAATTACTGAATTTGTCAAGCAGATTTGGAAAGTAAGTACAAATTTTGATGATGGTTGATGAATGGCCCAAGATGCTGAGTAATCGGCGGTTTCGGTCACGTGATTTAGACCAACTGATAGGCCTTGATCTTATCAACGGGCATTTGGTGATGTATAGTGTGCCTGAGCTTGATGATCAGTCAATTAGGAAGGAGCAAGGAAGACCGCAGTCTCTAGAATATTGGAGAATTGGCCACAGCAATGGAAACTCCTGAAAAATGCAAAAGAAGTGCTTTTTCAGGGGTTACAAGCATCTCTATGAGTGAAGAAAATTCCAAAAAATCCTTTAGGTTGTTGAAAGAATCAAAATTTCAATCGCTACTTTGGAGTTTTCCAAAGGAGTAATAATGCACCATGAAATCCACTTTATTGAAAAACTCAGCCACTTCTATGACTATCTCACATCTGCTTTTACACTGTCTAGTATCTGTTGCATGAGATCACGCAGCTGTTCAATGCTATGACCAAGAAAAGTTGACACTCATTTGGAACTTGAAGAATCATCAACAGAGCAATATAGAGGATGAGAAGGATGAGGTATAATGGGGCAGCACCTCCCACTCTCATCTCCCATTCTGATTCATTCCACCTTACCCCATTTTATCCGTCAGAAGAAGTGACAGGAGGTCTTTTAAGAAGTCAATCACCGGTTGGTTTTGCCAGGCCAGTGTGGTCAGTTTTCACCTTATGTAACAGGTGTAACTCTTTCTGACCACCCACTGACAATTCTTCTGTTTGATGTGGCAGAAGTTTATCTGCTTGCACACCCTTCGGTTGCTTGCTTGCTAGCAAATGGACATAAGCCCAGTTATTTGACCTCCAGCAAATGCACAATGGGTAGTGAAGAAACGCGCCTTTAGTGCACCACATGTCACAGAACCACGGCACCACAGCGTGCCATGTGCTGTCTTATCCTCTGATTTCTGAGGCTGGCTGGCCTAACTGATGTGTGTTTTAGACATGTGGCGTGAGTAGTGAGTGGAGGATTTGTGTGGCGACAACCAGTGGTTTAGTCGTTCGTGGGGCGAATGCTGCAACACCAAAGCCACTTCCCCCACAATGAAGCAGTTAACGAACAATCTGAAATGTAAGTCGTGTTCATTTAAGAGGTAAAAAAGAATATGACAGTCTTGTGACCAGAAAGAGCTTCACTTATAGCTTGAGGCAGGAACTCATCTCGTTGCCGTTGCACAACTGACCTATAAGAAGCTTGCATGTCACTTCTCAGAATAGGATGCGATGGAAGGGTGTTGTTACCTCTCCCTACCTCATTCTTCATATCTTCCTGGTGACATTTAGTCGCGTTATCTGCTGTTTTTCATCCATTGTTAAGGTATGTCAGTGAGACCTGTTTGTGTAGCTTCAACGAAAGTCGACACCAATGTGAATGTACATGGGTAACTACCCATCCGTAATCAAGATTAAGGAATCCTCCACAGCTTGATGCTTCTTTATTCAACTGTGCCATCCCATTAACAGAATTAAAATGTTAATCCAAACCATTTCTGGACAATTTACTTTCTTGCAAAACGCAATGCAGCAATTGTCACGAGCAGATTCCGTGACTCGGTTGGTAAAGTAGAAACAACCAAACTTTTGAGGCGTAAGGAGTCTGGACAACAGCCAAATGGTAAGGATCACAAAAGGTAGTACCCTTTACAGTACATATGCACGTTTTGTCAGGTTTCTGCATGATGCAAAAGGTCATTTCTGTAGGCTATGCTAAAAAACTACCTTTTCTTGGTCACTTGATCCCCACATGATATATAAATGTATCGTTTGAAGGGAATGCAGAAGCGTTAAATTTTTTGCGCCAACCTTGTAAGTTGTCTTCACGCTGCACAAGAGTGTTTAATAAATGACGAATTGTAGAGTGTGTGAACTATCTTTTCAACCTCTTCATATGATTCCCTTGTAACATATTTTGTTCCCTTATTTGCTACCGGAATCTACCAGTTTCAAGTAATGGTGGAAGGGAGTGAACCATCACTCTCACCTAAATATGGCTACGAAATTTTAGCCTAAATAGCATTCAAAAGGCACTAGCTTCTGCCTCCTAATATGGGTGAAAGAAAAACTTATGTACACGCTTGGATCCCGATTCCTCCTTTTTGTGGCAAATAAGCTCAGCAGAGATATGAAGTCCTTCAATCACTCCACCATTGCTGTTAAACTATGCTGTACTCTCGCATTTGAAAATGTTCATGGAACACCCCAGTAATGTAAGGCAGTGAATAGCTAGGAAGGTGGATGACAGAAGTGGTTACAGAGCCGATCTATCGAGTGGATGCAGGAATTGACGAACTCACTTAGTGGAGCACACATTATAACATCTACCATCAAGTTTGGACCTTGTTTCTAGCTATTCATTTGGTAATTCTTAAATACTGTAGCTGACCTTTTATGGAGACACACGCAAGAGCCAGAAACAATTGCCAGTACCTATTCATAAAGGCAAGAAAATATTCGCTCCCCACTTCAATGGTGTTAATCGTCCATTTCACCGTATTAATAGGCCCGTCTCCTTCGCGACCAGTGTTAGAGGAGGTAGATCCACCAGTTTTGCATGCCAAACGCCAATCTCAAGAGAGCCCTCTTGAAAGCTGTCACCTAAAAGTAGCGTTCATTTCCCCTCATTACTTTGCTTCCATTCCACCTCGGCTGCTGGAGACGAGGACAGTGTATCACTGGTTAACTTAGTCAACACTATCTTCCATCAAGTGCTGTAGGCAACTTCTCATGGATGCAATCGAATAGGTCATTTATAGTGGTGGCTCATTTGCTAGTTCCCTTCTCACTGAAGGTGGAAACGGGGTAGGCGAAAGCTAACCCTCCTGTAGTGAGTTACCACAGTAGATATCCCTCCTTTGGAGCTAGAATTTGGAAAGCTGCCAAAGTAACCAGAATAACTGTCCTTATTGGAGAGGATTTAATTATAGCCACTAGTTGTGGGACGTATCGAGCGGTTTGTGAAGTCGTAATTAGCTACGCTATTGCGGAAGACGATTTACCATTGGAGCACCGTACGCCTGAGTGTCTTTAGCTACGGACAAAAGGCTATAACACAGAAATGAGGGGTTAACCTGCAAATCACCATGATATATTCCACCATTCAACTCTGTATGGCTATCCTATCAAAATCCGGCAATCATTCTGTGCTTCTCCCCTCAATTTATCATCTTTCAAAGGTTTTAAAGCTCTCATTCACTTGAAATTTACTTTAAATAGACTTTAACAGAGTGGGAATCTTCTACCATTAAAAGCCGAATTTGTGAAAGCGCGACATAGATTGCCATGGTCAGTAACATACTACTTGCTTTTTGCATATTTTGACTAAAATACAAAATGCATTAGTATTAACATCAAAGTGTGACTTCATTGACTGCACGTGAGCGTGCATTACCCAGTGTTATACCATTCCCCAGTTTAGGCATGAACCAAACTAAAGAATACATATATTTGCTTATCCCGACAGACCTACTACTTCCTCATTCTTGACACCATGAATCTCCTCGCCCATGGAATATCTCGTCTAGTCAACTCAATGACCATCCAACCCCCCGTCGGTTTGACTTGTGATTCCCATGACGTTTGGCCACAGGGTGCAAGACTGTTGACTGAAATCAAATCTGTAGGTTGAATGATTCTTCTCTATTTCCTTTATCAAGAAAAAAAGTGGCTGAATGGTTTTTATGGGACACTTTCTACCTTGCCATTACATAGCCATCTTTGTTAACTAGGTGGCACCTAAAAGATAACTGCTTTTGAAGTTGGATCGCGTAATTAAGCATGAGAACTCCAGTTTCTGGTTGAAAGCCTAAATATTCAGATTTCCTTACTCAGAAGTGGTTCTAATTCGTTGGAAGGCTAGCCTGTTCGCCGCATTCAGGTAGAATGAGGACTCACTCAGCTAACCCGTTAGTAACTGTAACTGGCGATAGCCATGTAAACTAAACCTTGCTGCCTGATTCACGCTTTTCGTCACCTTGGTTTTAGCTAAAATCTGTCTGCCACTCATGTTACATGGTTTTTTGCGTTGAGGCGTAATAAACTTTGCTGTTAGAATGCCACTTCAGCTCTAAATTATCCGTTGAAGAGTGCATTTGGATTATTTATTAGTGTGCCACCTGTTACTCTAATAAATCTCCTTCCTTTCTTTTTACCTTCATTTTAGGTTTTTCTATTTATATTTAAAAGGATTTTGTCATAATAGACGCTATAGAAGCAAATTAACTGCTTATTTTCTGATGATCAAACTGTTCTACAGGTCAGGGCTGTCAAAAATCCGATTCTCAAATTCACCTTATAAGGAGTTTAGGTGTTGTATAATTAATTGCCTTTGGAAGGACAGCTTAATTTTGTAGAAAAAAAATGGAGAGAACTTATTTTAAAGGAAATGAAATTTATGGAATAAAACTGATTATTAAAGAAGAACAATATTATTCAAGTTCGTTTCTGACTTTATGCCGAAATTATGGCTGGCAATAAACTTAGTTACTATTTATAGACAAAAACTAAAAGAAAAACTAAAACCATAGGAACTCAAAGCATTTGGTTACTTTTCAGCAGAAAAACTTGGGTGGTAAGGCTTTATTTTACGGTTTTTACTCAATCAGATAGATTCAGAGAACTAAAATTCTTCATAAAATTTGGTCTTTTCGTTAGAAACGATGTTATCACTCTGAAGTAAGAATGGCAGAGGAACTTCTGCATACCAAAGGTGAGGAATTCGCTTTTTATCCCCCACCAAGTCTTGTGAACAGAAGGTCCTTGTCACAAGCACAACTTCACCTCCGTTGTTACAAGGCATTTTTTTCTCCTGAAATCGTCCACGTGTTCAAAACTCTTATTAGTGTGTTGGACGCAGGGCCCCTAAGGCAACAGTTACAACACGAAGACAGAGAAGATTGAACGAAGGCAGAACGTAATTGTTTAAGCTGAGCATTTCTTACTTCATGCCCGACTTTTGTCTACCAGTCTGCGTTTACCGGGTGAGTGTCTAGACACCACCCATTGGAG